TGCTGAGGATAGGGGCCTAAGCTCAGAGCTCCCCGGGGAACCTACTGCACAACCGAGTGAGCATTCAGTGGACCCTGAAGATCTCACACTGACCCAAGAGGTGGCCTGCGTCTGCCATGGCCAGATCCAAGACCTCTATGCTGAGGATGAAGGCCTAAGCTCGGAGCTCCCTGAGGAACCTGCTCCACAGCCAACTGAGCATTCGGGGGACCCTGAGGCCGCTCGCCAGAGCTTCCGGCAATTCCGCTACCATATGGCCACGGGTCCCCAACAGGCCTTGGCCCGGCTGCGTGAGCTGTGCTGCCAGTGGCTGCGGCCTGAGGCGCGCTCCAAGGAGCAGATGTTGGAGCTGCTGGTGCTGGAGCAGTTCCTGGGTGCACTGCCCAGAAAGCTTAGGACTTGGGTGGAGTCGCAGCACCCGGCAGACTGCCAAGAGGCAGCGGCCCTAGTGGAGGTTGTGACTTGGATATCTGCAGATGAAGGTGGGTGAGCCGGAAGAGGGGAGGGGCAGCTCCTCAGCCCCCTGGAGGATGCAGTAGGGAAGGGCCCTGCCTACTCCACCTGCACCAGGGGTGTCGGCACCAAGGCGTAGGAGTTAGGGTTCACAGCACACGTTTGGTGGGGCAGAGTTCAGTCCATAATGCAGAGCTGCTGAACCCTGGGGTGGGGCCCACCACTGCCTTCTCTAGCAGACCCTCCAGGGGGACCTGCCTTAGCGCAGCAAATAGGTAACTCGATTGTAGTTGCTGGCTGTGTATGTGGGGTGCGATCCAGCGTCGGGGTCTCAGTGGAGGGAACATAGGTAGTTAGATCCCTGCGTGGCCCAGACAGTTCCGCCCTTATCTACAAACCTGGAGGCTGGTGGTTCAAACCCACCTAGCAGTGCTTCAGAAGGAAGGCCTGGCCGTCTGCTTCCCTAAAATCCTGGGGAGTAGTTCACCCCGCAACACGTGCAGTCGCCATAGGTCAGGACCCTCCAGGAGAAGTGGTTTTGTTTTTTAGTTGTTTCTTTTTTTACGTTTTTAACATAAAGAGGCAATTAAGAAAGGACTTTGTGATTCCAAGGCCTGGAGGTGAGCAGGAAAGAAGACAGTGTTTGACAGATAAATGTGCAGGCAAGGCATGCCTGGTCCACAGGAACTGGAGGGACTGGCAGGGCCCATGGAGGCCAAGTTGCTGTGTCCGGCACTGGCATCCAAGTGGAATTTAGCTGTGGGGAAGAAGGGAGGCCCAACGAGCAGATGACGTCACAGTGGTGGGGTGATCACTCAGAAGCATGGGGCCATTAGGAGTTGGCGTCAACACGATGGTCCCCGATAACAGTAGAATGCTTTTGTGTTGCCCACTGTTACTTTCTGTTCCTGGCCTCACCTGGCACATGTTGGGCGTTTAGAATGGGCCTCTCGTGTGAGTGAGTGAATGGGAGGGTAAGGCTTTGAATTGAAGGTTCTCTTTGATGGTCTGGGGTAAGTGTCATCAAAGAAGTCCTTCTGGGAAGGACACAGAGGGTCACAATTGGAGACTGTGACACCAGCAGCAGAAGTAGCAGTGATGAGGGGACACTTTTTAGGAAACCCTGTGGGGCAGTTCTACTCTGTCCTCTAGGGGCTCATTGGGTGCTGACAAGTTGATTCTAGCTCAGGACGATGCCATGTGACAACGTAGAACTGCCCCACAGGGTTTCCTAGGCTGTGACCTTGACAGGAGCAGATTGCCTGGTCTTTTCTCCCGCGAAGCCCCTGGGTGGATTCAGACTGCCAGCCTTTTGGTTCACAGCTGAGCACTTAACCATTGCACCATCAGAGCTCTTTTAAGCAGCCCCTTCCAAACCCAAAACCAAACTCACTGCCGTGGAGTCAGATCCGACTCATAATGACCTCTCCTTGGGTTTCCGAGGCGGTATCACTATGGAAGTAGATTGCCCAACCTTTCTTCCAAGGAGTGGCTGATGGGTTTGAACCTCCAGCCTTCTGGTTAGCAGTCAGATGCCTTAGGCACTACGCCACCAGAACTCCCAAGCAGCCCCTTAAGGGCTGGAAAAGATAAGGACCAGACTTTTCCCTCAAGACTTCAGGAGAGCCGACGTCCTGGTTTTAGCTTCGGGAGTTTGGAGTTCTGGCCCATCTTGGAAGACGATTGTTCCTAGTGTCTTAAGCCACCAAGTTTGGGTACATAGCAATGATGAGAAACAATACAGATGCCAGGGATACGGTGATGGAGCTCATGAGATGAAAGTCAGAGGGTCTGTCCTTGTTTAAGCTCTGGGGGTGAATAAAACCAACTCCCTGATGTACAGGGAAGGGCAGGAAGAGGCCCTCTGGAGAGCCCAGCCTCCATTTTATGGCCAGCATGTGTGTTGGGGCTTAGTTGTAAGAGGCGGGAAGCCTGATATAGAAGGGCTTAGGTTAGAAGAGATTGTACCGAGAAGTCCCAGGGTGATGGGCTTCTGGCACAGCTGGATCCAGGGACTCATCCTCTCTCCCATCTCTCAGCTCTGCTGCCCTCTGTTGGCTTCACTGGAAGCCACTTGGAGTTTCTCTTTCCCAAGTGATCCCGTAGAAGTCTGTTTGGCTCAGATTGGCTGGCTGTGGATTGATTCTATCGCTGTGGCCAACAGGATTCAGTGGCCTGATTGGTCAGCCTGGGTCAGGCCTCAAGACCCCTTGATAGCCTGGTAGAGTCAGCATTGTAAGAAGTCTGTGGGCTGTGTAGGAATGCATGAGGAAGACTGAACGTGAGGAGCCTTGTCCAGAAAGGGACCTGGGGTGAGGCAGGGCGCCAGGTATGGGAGACTCAGTAAATTTCACCCACAGAGAGACAAATGTCAGGAAAAGGAAGGGAGCTGCAGGGTTAGGCCAGAGCAGAGGCCACTTGGGGATGGAGGGAGGTCCCAGCCTCCCTAGGTCAGTGGAAGGGAGGAAAACACGGTAGAGGGTTCAGAGGGCCAGGGAGCTTTGTCTTTGAGGAGGAGAAAGGCAGCTAGGTGCAGGGGTGAGTGGGTAGATGAGGCAGTTTGTCTTGGAGTGGCTGAGGTCTGAGTTAGTACTTGAGGGAGGGTGAGAGTGGAGATTTCAGGGGTAACAGTAGGATACAGGTGTGCACCAGCCCGTCAGGGTCACAGTGAGACAGACGGGCCGGGCATGCCTTGCTCTGCCTGAGTGAGCCTGGGAGAGGCTGGGATGGGGGTCATACTGGTGAGATAGAAGCTGGATCCAGCCTTACCTGAAGCCTCCACCTGCTCCTCCTCAGCTCTGCCAGCCCAGGGCCCTGGCTCTTCTCTGGAAATCACTGATTGGCAAGAGAAAGCAAAGGAGGAGGAGGTGGCCGACTGTCCTGCGAAGGAGCTGCCCGAGGTGAGTGGGGTCCTCGGAGTGGTTCTCTAGTGCTGCTCTAGTAGAAGTACCACAGGGGGTGGTTTAGAACAGACAGATTTATTCTCTGATGGTTTTGAAGGCTAGAAGTCCAAGTTGCAAGTGCCAGCTCTAGGGGCTGGGTGAAAGGCCCTTGACCTTGGGCTTCAGCTCTGCCTCTTGTTGCTGGCCCACTGGAGCTGGAGGTATCTCTTCAGTCAGGCAGCTGCTGGCTGCTAAGGCTGACAAACCCAAGGTCAACCAGTAAAATGGCACAGTGCCGCTATCACCAAACCACACAGCAGGCCACTGTTTCAAGCCCAGTGAAAGTCCCAGGATTGGCAGACAGCATGGCAGGCTGCCGAACGACAGCTCGGCTACACGCGGGACTCAAGCGTGCCAAAAGCTACAGACAAAATTTCCAAAGCTTCTCCTCATGTACATGAAGCAGACCACATCCCTAAAGTAGCCACTCAGCTGCTTGCAGCAGATTCCACCATGGAGTTGATTGCCAGTCTCATCATGGGGGTAACTATAATCAGCCTGCCCAGCTACTCAAAACCAGGCCCAGCCAAGTTGACACATAACCTTAACTACCACAGTCATACACTTGTTCTGCTTAGGTCACAGGATGGCCTGTGCAGTGGGTCCCCAAGTCGTCTCTCTAGTGCTGCACTCAGCACTATGCTGGTGTCTGAAGTGGCCTGGCTTGTGAAGAAGGATACAGTGAGGCAAGTGGAGGGACTGCATGCTTAGAGGAGATTCAAGACAGTTGCCAGATGGAGCGTCCAGAGGCCAGATCCCCATTAGCAGGCAAGGCCTCCTCTCTCAGTGCTGCTGAGTGAAGCAGTACAGTGTCTAGGGCTTGCTTCAGGATAACCTGTGGGTAGAGGTGGATGGAACAGGGCTGGTCATGTGTTGAGGCAGAGTGCTGGGTACTCAGGGTGGGTCATCTTCTGGGGGTTACTTTTGTATGTGTTGGAAGTTCTCCACAAGGAAAGAGAAGAAGAGAGTGCGTGCAGCCCAGGTGAGCTGCAGCGCGTGTCTGGTGTCAGTCACAGGAGTCGTGCAGGGGTGGGCTTCAGGCAGGGCTGGATCCAGGTGCTGTGCATGATGGGAGGATTGCTCCTCAGCCCTGGGTCCTAGTTCTACCTTCGCCACAGCTTCACTCTCAGGCGGGTACTGCCCACGTGGCAACAAAACGTCTCCAGCTCAGGCTCAGGGTTCCCAGGCAAGGTGACCTTCCTCCCAGTGTCCTGCTCCACTCCCCTGTGAGGACTGGTCACAGATCCACCCTGGGGCAGCCTCTGAGCCCACAGAGGCAGCAGGAGTTCAGTGCCAGTCCCACCAAGTGGCAGGGGGACATCTGCTTGGGGAGGGGTGGGCCTTGTCAGGTACTGGTGGGATTGGGAGGCTCCAGGGTGGTGGAGCTTATCAGAGGAGATGGATGTCGGGTGGGAGTTGGGCTTGTTGCCACGAGGTGATTTCGGTGGAGCTGGGGCGCTGTTGGAACAGGGTGTGTACTGACTGGACCCATGCATGCTGTTGCAGGAGATGGTGACCTTCCAGGACGTGGCTGTGGACTTCAGTCGAGAGGAGTGGAGGCTGCTGGGCCCGACACAGAGGACAGAGTACCGCGATGTGATGCTGGAGACCTTGGGGAACCTGGTCTCTGTGGGTGAGGCACTCTTAGGATTCGCGGGCCTCCAGCTAGGACTGGGTGTGTGTTCACGGGTCCATCGTGTGTCGCCGGCCTGTTGTTGTTGTTATATGCCGTTAAGTCGGACCTGACTCATAGCATCCCCACCTCGGGTTTCCAAGGCGGTATCACTACGGAAGTAGATTGCTCAACCTTCCTTCCGAGGAGTGGCTGGTAGGTTTGAACTGCCAGCCTTCTGGTTAGCAGTCAAGTGCTTTAGGCACTACACTAGCAGAGCTCTTGTCGTCGGCCTATGGCTTGCAAAAAGGACATGGAGGTGGCATCTTCTGACCTCTAACTTCACAAGAGGGAGACGGAATGACCGTCAGCACCGCAGGGTTTATGGAGGTGGCATCTTCTGACCTCTAACTTCACAGGAGGCAGATGGATCACCAGCAGCAGTCCAAGATTTCTTCCTATGAGGCTAGACAGGCCACCACCCTCCAGCCTGTGACCAATTTTGACACCAGTCGTCCTTCCCATGGTGCTCACTGCTTGCTTCTTTGCTGGATTCGATAATTCGTTGCCCTGGCCACACAGAACTCTCAGACAATGCTCACGGTTACAGGGTTTATTAGGGAAGTAACAGGCTACAATTCAGGTTTAGGAATGCTCTCAGGATACGATTCTTCCATTGGGACAGTCTCCCCTCAGCCATGCCAACCGTGTCCTCAAGCACACCTCTCAGGCTCGTGGCCTCTCTGCCCTGCTCAGGCAAGTGTTACAAAGCTCTTTCAGCTCTGCCGATAGGTGCACCTAAGAGCACCCCACTCACCAGCAAACCTCCTGCCCAAAGGCACTCAGCTTTCTCGCTCCATGTGATGGCAAGCCAGCCACTCTGTCCTGTGCCTCTTGGTTCTTATCTGGTCATCTCTGCCAAGGAGATCCAGTGCAGAGATCTCAGGCCCAAGGACACATTTCACTCCACCTTTGGCTCTTTTCTCTCGGTGGCATTGAGATCCCCACTTCTTCCTCTGTTGTTGGTATGTGCCATCGAGTTGGACCCGACTTGTAGCGATCCTCCTTAGGTTTCTGAGGCAGTATCGCTACGGAAGTAGATTGCCCGACCTTCCTTCCGAGGAGTGGCTGGTGGGTTTGAACCGCCAGCCTTCTGGTTAGCAGTCAGATGCCTTAGGCACTACACTACCAGAGCTCTAGGAGGGCTCATTTTCAGCCTAGCAGAATGGCAAAAGCGACCAATCCGCACAGTGGAGTTCCACATGCCTTATCTGCATGGTCCCACCCCCACAAGGGCACATTGCTAACAAACTGCAGTCTCCTTGGTGGGCACAGGCGCTTGACATTTGCATAATTCCACCCAGTCATCTGGCAGGGACACCAAGACCCACTAGGAGGGCCCCACCACGTAATTCCCTGCACGACGGCCCCAGCGGGCGAGGGCTGAGGGTGCCTTCTGCGATGGCCCACCCTGGCCTGGGCCTTCTGTGGTCTTTCCAGAACCTGTGTCCTGTTCTCTGGAGTGGAGTAGGGAAGGAGCTGCAGGGGCGGCCGTTTGACACCCTCGGAGGGTCTGGGCCCTTTGGGTATCCCCCCCATTGGGGCACCCTCTCCCTAACCCTGTGCCCCCTCACCGCCCAGTCCTGTGCCAGCCTCACACTCCTTGCTATACCTGAGCCCGCTGTTGCGGCCACTGTGCCAGTCCATCTCGTTCAGGGCCTTCCCCTTCCCCTTTCACTGACCCTGCACTCCACCAAGCATGGTATCTCTCTAGGGAATGGCCCCTTCTGACATGACCAAAGTCTCTATTGAAGGAGCAAAATTGTTCCTCAGTTGAAAGGTGCATTCAGGGGATGAGCTCAGTTCAGGGCCTTGATGTTGTCTCCTGGTAGTAGATTCAAAGTCCCGCCAGTCTTACTGTGTCCAGTAAGTCTGGTTCTTAATGAAAATCTGAAGTTCTGTTCCACATGTTTCCTCTTTCTGATCGAGAGCCAACTATTAAAGCCTTGATGTAAATGTTCAGGAATGGTAGGGGAGCACCATCCATTTCTTCTGGTCTCATGGCAAAGGATGGAGTGGTTCCTGGAGGTGATTGGCCCTGCAGTCCATTTCCTTATCTGGTTCCTGAGCCGCTGCCTCCCTGTCTTGGTCCAGGTGAATAGAGAACTACTGTATTTTGGGTGCCTGCTAGCACCTTTGAAGACCCCAGGCACTGCTCATTGATCACAGTGCTGTCATGAACCAAAGCTGAATCCAAATAGTTTTTCAGACTCATTGGTTTTTTTTTTCTAATTTTCTTAATCCCACAGTATGCTGTGCCACACATAGTACTGTCTCCATCCCATTAGCTTTCATTCCTCCCAGCAGCACTGCCAGCTCCGGGTTTTCCTTCTGGGTTTGTAGACAGGGCACGTCAGGCTCACAGAAGTCATGGAATGTGTCGGGGTGGCAAAGCTGTTACCGGCAGAGTGGGCTTTGCTCCACCCAGGGCTCTAAGCAGCACGGGCCTAGCTGCATGGGAGAGCCACAGGGGCAGAGGTGGCCTCGGGTCTGGTGAGGGACTGGTCGGCCATCCACTCTGAGGATATACTAGAAAACGTGGAAAGCAGTGGTGAGCCTGATGCACACTTAGTGTCACCTGGGTTTGAGAGGACATGGTGCTCTGGCGTCAGTGCCCTGTGCTCCCGTGCTCCCAGGGCTCCACCCCTGCCCCTCCATCTCCAGGCTCCCTGCTCGGAGCCCCGCCCCTGCCCCTCCATCACCGAGCTCTGCCCATCTCTGTTCTGCTTCACTGCTTTTCAGTCTCTCCTTGACTTACAGGGGTTTCGGTTTTGTTTTGGGTAGCTAGGATTTTTTTTTTGTTCTTGTGTTTTTAATGCTGTATGGTGCAATACTAAAAGCCAAACCTACTACCATTGAGTCGATTCCGACTCATAGTGACCTTATAAGGACAGAATTGCCCCATAGGGTTTCTAAAGCTGTCAGTCTTTACAAAAACCAAACCCACTGTGGATTCTGACACACAGTGCCCCTAGAGGACAGAGTGGAACTGCCCCACAGGGTCTCCAAGGCTGTCAATCTTCACAGAAGCAGACTGCTTGTCTTTGTCCCATGGAGCAGCTGGTATGTATGAACCATCAGCCTTTTTGTTAGCAGCCCAATGCTTTAACCACTATGCCACCAGAGCTCCTTGTGGTACAGTACATGTAACAAAATTTGCCACTTTAAATTGAACCATGCAGCTGCATGAAATGCATTCACAGTGTGGATTCCCCCATCCCCACGTGATCACGCCATCATGCTGTCCACCCCTCCTGGCACCGCCTCACTCTGGTGTCCATGCCTCTTGGCTCTCTTTCAGGATGGGAAACAACACTGGAAAGCAAAGAGTTAACGCCCACAGCTGATGTTTCTGCAGAAGAGCCAGCCCCAAGCCTAGAGGAGGACAACTCCTCAGGAGGTGGCCCCGCGGCCTCCTCAGGAGACATCTTGCAGGATGAGGTCTCAGGAGTCCAGGACACGGCTGGGAAACAAGTGAGGTGTGCTCAGGAGGAGAGCTGTGAGAGCCCCCAGGCCAGGGCCAGCACTGGGGTCCGCACAGGCCCTATTCCACCCCAGAAAACTCCGGTTGCAAAGCGTGTACGCAAGCCTGGCCCTCAGGCAAGGAGCACAAAACATGAGCCACGGGTGAAAACACACCCAAACAGTGGTAACCTGGGCAAAGCCAAGGATGGCGGTGGCAGCGGGCCCACCTGTGGCCGGAGCGCACAACATATCACATTCACAAGGATCCACAAGGAGAGCCCCCACTGTCGCTGCAGCGAGTGTGGCAAGACCCTGCGGAACCCCAAGTACTTCTCTGTGCATAAGAAGATCCACATAGGAGACAGACCCTTTGTGTGCCAGGAGTGCGGGAAAGCATTCATCCAGAGCTCCTCCCTCACGCAGCACCAGAGGATCCACACTGGAGAGAAACCATTCAAGTGTCGCGAGTGCGGGCGTGCCTTCAATGATCGCTCAGCCATCTTCCAGCACCTGAGGACTCACACTGGCGCCAAGCCCTATCCATGCAGGGACTGTGGCAAAGCCTTCCGCCAAAGCTCGCACCTCGTCAGGCACCAGAGGACTCACACTGGGGAGCGCCCCTATGTGTGCGCCAAGTGCGGGCAGGCCTTCAACCAGAGCTCGCACCTCATCGGGCACCAGAGGACGCACAACAGGGAGCTGGCCAAGAAGAAGACCAAGAGGAAGCTGCTGTGAGCTGCGGGGGCCGCTTTGCCTTGGTCGCTGCCCTCTGGCCTACGCCCAAGACCAGCGGGCCGCCAGGGAGTGAACAGCGCCGAGGGGAGGTGGTGGTCCTGAGTGCAGTGGTAGGAATGACAGTTTAACTTGTTTTCCAGTCAGTTGACTTACCGTCAGCCATCTGTTAATTGATTCATTTGGTCGATAGTGGTGAAATGAATGAAGCCTGAAAAGGTTAATATTATTATAATTTTCAAAAGCCAGGTACCAAGTATTGTGTGCACTGATAGCCGTGTCTCTGGTAAAGGATTTATGCATATGGACAAGGACTGAAATGGACCGCAGGTAAATGAACCACTCACATCTCTTCTGTGGCAGAATCTGTGTAGTTGCTCCCCTGACACGGTGATTTAATTGAAATATCATCATGGTAATTATTTGTTTAGAATACCTAACCAGACCCATTGTGGATTCTGACTCACAGCGCCCCTAGAGGACAGAGTGGAACTGCCCCACAGGGTCTCCAAGGCTGTCAATCTTCACAGAAGCCTACTGCCTTACTTTGCATAGAGCAAAGTAAGCTCGAACTGCAGATCTTTTGATAAGCAGCTGAATGCTTTAACCATTTTGCCAGCAGGGCCCCTGATTATTCCCTTGAGCCTCCGAAAGGAGCAACAGTGCCAACAAAACCTTGACTTCAGCTTGAGGCTCCTCTCGGATGTCTGATATCCAGAACATAAGGTAGTAAATCGGTGTTCCCCAGCTAAGTGCAAGTTTCAGCCACTGAGTTTGTGGTCATTTGTCACAGCAGCCATAGGGAGCTAATACAGAGGCCACGTCCACCCAGTTGCTCACGGGGTTCCTGCAGGAGCACCAGAGGGTGAGGGCATGAGACAGCTGGGTGAAAGGGAAGTGGTCTGAGTGCAAATGCTGGCGGTGGAGATGTCAGAGCACTGAAGCCTCCCGGACCTACAGAAGGGAGGTGATTGCATCAGGGAAGAGACAGGGAACCAGCCCCTGTGCTGCTGTGGCCGAGGAGTTGGTGGGCATGAGCAGCTGAGAAGATCAACCCTAGGCTTTGGCTGAAGGATGCTGATGGGACTCCTCCACTGCTCTCTGCACCTTCTGGAAGTTCACTAACGGGAGGGAAGGATGATTTTGTTTTGTTAAGAAGGGCATAAATGCAGAGAGCGAGGAGAATGAGAGAAGGGCCGCAGCTGGACCAGTGGTGAGGGACGAGCTGGGGAGAAGGCACATGAGCCAGTTCAAGGGAAGGGGGGGCACCCTCACCTGCCTTCAGCGCCCTGAAAGCAAAGCAGGCGAGGGACTAAGCATCCTGCCAAGGGGGTGAACGGGGAGCGCCAGCTGAAGGTTCCTCCACACCGGCAGCAGCTTGGTGCTCACTCAGGAAGGGGGACCAGAAGTCCAGGAGGAGAGGCCTCAGCTGAGGGTGGGGCTTGAAAGCGGAGTGTCAGTGAATGTACGCGTGAAGATTGTTACATATTAAGTTGTATCCCCTAAAATGTAAATTCTAACCCCCTGCACCTTGGTTATAATCCCATCTGGAAGTGGGTTCAGGAGGCAGCGTTATTGTAGGGTGTGTCATAATCCCTTTTGAGGTAGAGATTAAAGAAGCAAATGAGAAGACAGACACCGTGCCACGTGGAAGTCACCGAGGAACCAAGGAATAAGGATCTTTCTTCCAGAGACGGCAGATTGCAGGCCTGGTACTCTTAGCCTCCTGAACTGTGAGAATAAATTGTTGGTTAAAGCCTGCGTGTGGTATCTCTGTCAGCAGCATTACAGAAGGAACAGGATCGAGTAAAACATTGCCTACCATTGTCTTCAGCGTCGCGGTCCTCGCCCTTGCCATTCCCTGGGTTCTGACGCCGACATGGGGATTTCTGGATCGTTCCTGCTGATCCTGTCCTGCTGTCAGGGGCCCAGAGTCAAGGGATCAGGTGCACGTGTGAATCAGTAGTCTGTTCCATTTCAGAGAGGGATTTGGTTGGAGTAACACAGGGGCCTGAAAGTGGACATGTGTGAGTGAGAGTATGCTTGTGTGTGGTGGGACACGGGTGGGAAGGTAAGTGGGTTTCCACTGACGTCACTACGCACAAATGCCTGTTGCATGACAACGTTGCTAATGCAAGAAATCATGGAGAGAAGTGCACATTGTTTTTCCAGTGATGAGACTTTCTGTGCTAAAGCCAAGAGAATGGCATGAAATACTCCGAGAACCCGAGGCTAATTAGAAAAATATCTTCATGCATGTCAACAAGGACCCACTTTTAGAACCTAATGGGAGAAAATGGCCTGGTTTATACTACCAATCCAGATCAATCAACATCCAGGAATAAACGAGCTCTGGTAGCATAGTGGCTAAGGCACTTGACTGCTAACCAGAGGACTGGCGGTTCAAACCCACCAGCCACTCCTCGGAAGGAAGGTTGGGCAATCCTACTTCCGTAGTGATACTGCCTCGGAAACCCCAGGAGGGGTCGCTATGAGTCAGGTCTAACTCGACGGCACATAACAACAACGGCCGCAAATTATAGGAGCACCCCTGCGGACGTTTCCAGGCAGTCGTACGGGAAGGCCTGGTACAGGAGGGGTGCCTGCCAAAGCCCCGGGTCTTCGGCGCCATCCGCCTAGGGCGCCTACCTTCCTCGCTGAGTGGACGACGAGGTCCCGTCACCAATTTCCCACCGCCCTTCAGCCTTCGGACGTCTGCGCCGCAAGGATTCTTGGGTGTTGTAGTTCCTATCTCCCGTGACGTATTTCCGGCGCGCCCGGTCCAGCCCCAGCGCTGTTGCGCCGGCGGCCGTGGTTCGCTGAGGTTGCTGTGCGCCTGTATTCGGCAGCTGACCCTTGTCTGGTCCCGGGGGCTGCGGGGCGGACCACTGGGGCTGAGGGCAGGAGGAGGCGACGGTGGTGGTGATCATGATGGGGGCCACGGGGTCCCCGAGGGCGTAGTGCGGGTGAGTGGGGACAGACGGCGAGAAGCCTCACGGGCAGGGAGCTCACCTCGAGGAGCGCATTCTGAACAGTGACGCCCAAAGCCGGCTCTGATTTTCCATTCTGCCTTGTATTCACGGCGACACCTCAGCTACACACCTGGCCCCAGTCACTGGGAAACTAATCAGCGAGGGGTAGTAGAAATGACTGATCGAACGTTCAGCAGCCACCTTCCGATCACTATCCATTTGTAGCCTTTAAAAAAAAAAAAAAAAACTTCTTTGCGATCATATCAAAATTAGCAGTTTATGCTCGTCACCGTGATTTTTTCCGTAGTTTATATAACTTGAGTTACAATTATACAGCCACCTTCTAGTTGCTATCCGCTTGCAGATTGGCTTTTTAAACTTTTTCCACTTACGTCTACATCTGCACGCAATTTTGGTGCGTGGTTTTCTGCGCCCGCACCAGGTTTTCTTGCTCTTCTTGCAAACGTAGTGATACCTCTGCGATTTCCTGTGACTTGCTTGGCCCATTTAGTGTATGTGCGATGAGAAACATTGTTTCCTGCACAGTGTAGACTGGTGGTGGGTGGGTGGCCCAGGGACAGTTCTGAGCCTCTCTTGTTCAACATATTTCTGAGTGTGTTTTACAATATCTTGTGTCTCTAATCAATTTTTTTTGTTTGTGTCCATCTATGGTTGATTATGGGCTGTGTAGGGAAAATTCTTAGTGTTCCTATATTTATTTTCTTTTTCCACCTTAGGAATTATTTTATTACTTTTTTAAAAGCATGTCTAATTTTAAAAAAACTATCATCAGCGTCCTTGGTTTTTTCTCTGGTAACAGGTGTCCTGAGATACCCTTTACATGCCCTACGATTCACCCATGTAAAGTGTGCAGTTCAGTGAGTGTGAATATGGTCACAGGGTCTGCAGCTATTGCAACAGTCAGTTGGAGATGGTTTTTATCACCCTGAATGGAAGCTGCCGCCTCCTTGTGAGCAGTCGCTCTCTGCTCTTCCCTGCCCACAGCAACCAGCAACCACTCATCTGTTTTTGTCTCTAGATTTTCCTGTTCTGGGCATTTGGTATAAACAGTTGTGGGATAGTCACCTTTTCTGTCTGGCTGCTTTCAGTAGCATGAGGTTCAGCCAGTTGCCGCACAGATCAGTACCTGATGCCCTATTATGGCTGAATACTGTTCTGTTGTGTGGATACACCCCATTTTGTCCACTCATTCATCGGTTGGTGAACATTTGGGGTCTTCAGCTTTCTGACTGGTATGAACAGTGCTGCTGTAAACATCCATATACAACTTTTTTCTGCGGACGTAAGTTTTTATTGTTCCTGTGTACGTATCTAAGAGTGGAATTGCTGGGTCCTGTGGTAACTTTAGCCTTAACTTTGTGAGTACCTGCCCAGCTGTTTTCCAAAGTGACTTTTAGCCTTTCACTTTGCCACCAGCAGGGGGTGGGGGTTCTGGTTTCTCCACCTTCTGGCCACCACCTGTCCTCACCTGGAGTGTTGTTATAGCTATCCGAGTGGAGCTTCTGAGAGTCCCTGGGTGGTCCAAATAGTTAAGCACTCAAGTACAGCCAGATGGTTGGTGCTTCGAACCCTCCCAGAGGTGCCTCGGAGGGTAGGCCTTGGTGATCTCCTTCCAAAAGATCGCAGCCGCTGAACATGCTATGGGCCAGTTCTACTCTGCCACACACACAGTTGCCAAAATGGAATCAAATCATCGGGAACTATTTATTTGTGTTTGTTTGTTTGTTTTTGGTGGGGCGCTACCTGTGGTTTCTATTGCATTTTCTTTTTTGACTTATTCTGTACAAACGTAAAATCTGCTCGTCACCTAATGACTACATTTGCCTTACAGGCTGTGGTTCACTGACCTCTGCTTGAGAGCATCCCCTTTGCCTGGCTTTGGCTTTGTGATTTTACAGACAAGCTGGTAGTGGGAAGTCTGCCATTTCCAGTCCAGAAATGCGGGTCTCTGGTCTAATTCACAGGAAACAAGATGCTGAGAGGAGTCATGATGCCCTCTGTGGTGTGTGGTGCCCTGAGTGAGATGTGCGGGGCCCAAGGCAGGTGCTGCATACGCAGTCACAGACATCAGCCCATACCGTGTCTGCCCTGTGCTCCCCGATGAGGAGGCTAGCCCCAGCTGAGTAGTACCATGTGTGATGTTGCAGGCACCTATGAGCTTCGAGAATGTGGCTGTGACCTTTAGCTGGGAGGAGTGGAGGTGCCTGGAGTCTGCCCAGAGAGCCCTGTACCGTGACGTGATGCTGGAGACCTGTGAGCACCTGGTCTTCTGGGTAAGACAGGGTGCTGCCTCTGAAGTGGTGGTTCCCCCACTGTGGTCCCTGGTTGCACAAATGCTTAAGGCTCGACTTCTAGCCAAGAGGTTGCAGGTTCAAACCCACCCAGACATGCCTCAGAGCAAAGCCCTGGTGATCTCCTTCCAAAAGGCACAGCCTTGATAACCCTGTGGAGCAGTTCTGCTCTGCACACACAGGATCTCCATGAGTCGGAATCGATTGCATGACAGGACATTCCACCTCCGGAGCTCTGGTGGCCTCAGCAGGGCCGGGACACTGGGCAGTGGGTTCTACTGGATGGAGGCCTTCGTGTTAGCAATCCTTCTGCCTCTGTGGAAGGTTTGTGACTCAGTGCAGGGAATGGGCAGCCTCTCAGGGATGGCTCTGAGACCCTCGTTGTTCACCTATGCCCTACCCCCGACATCGGGCACTGGGCCTGAAGACATGGTTCTCTGTTTCCAGCCAGAGTACCAAGTCCTGTGTGTTTCCCTGTGACTAGAGCTTCTGCTTCCCAAACTGGACATGATTTCCTGGCTGGAGCGAGGAGAAGATCCCTGGAGGCTGAAATGAGGGCTGCTCTGAGGTGAGAGTAAGGCAGCCAGGGAGCCTTTGCACGGAGCAGCCCAGGTGGTGAGTGTAGCAGCATGCTTGCGGGCACGGGGTAGCCAGCTCTCTGCAGGGCCCTGGGTCTGAAGAGAAGGGGAGGCCGTTTCAGGTGTGCTTTCTTGGATGTCCTCTGCTGCTTGGTTAAGGGAAGAGCCAGTTCCCATCTATGGCAGCCTTTCCTTGTGGGCTGGGCCCAGGGGAGCAGCTTTGCCATTGTTGGCATTTTCACGGGTGGGCTTGCTTTGTGTTCCGCCTCTCTGGCGTAGCTCTCTAGTGCTGCTATGATAGGAAAACCACAAGTGGGTGGTGGTAAAGAGCAGAGCAGAAATTTATTTTCTCACAGTTACGGAGGCTTGAAGTCCCAGCTCAGGACGCCAGCTCAGGGGGAAGGCTCTCTCTCTGTGCCAACTCTGGGGACGCTTCTTCTCTCAGCTTCCCTAGCCCTGGCATTCCTCAGTTCCTTGGTTGTCTCCACATGGCATCTATATTGCCCCTGTTTACGTCTCTCTGTATCGAATCTACTCTTTTATATCTCAAAAGGCATTAGGTTTAAGACACACCTGTAGTGATGTGGAAGAGCTCTCATGGCATCGGGCTGCTAACCAAAAGGTCCGCTGTTGGAACCCACCAGCTGCTCGGTGGGAGAAGGATGAGGCAATCTGCTTCCATAAATATTGACACTCTTGGAAACCCTGTGGGCAGTTCCATGCTGTCCTCTAGGGGCGCTGTGGGTCAGAACGGACTCCACTGCAGTGGGTGTGGTTTGGGCTTTGCTTCTGTGAAGACTGACAGCCTTGGAGACCCTGTGGGGCAGTTCCACTTTGTCCTCTAGGGGCGCTGTGGGTCGGAATGGACTCCATGGCAGTGGGTTTGATTTGGTTTAATACTGATATGGCCTTGGTAACAAAAAACCTATTTCCAAGTAAGATGACATCCAGAGGATAAGGAGGTTAGAATCTGAACCGTGTTTGGGGGCCACAGTTCGGTCCATAATGCTCCCGTTTTGTTGTCATCCCTGTGGTACCATGTGTCGTTCCTAGATCCTCCTGTTGCCCCCTTCTCAGCCCCTTGTCCTGAGCCCCGCCCAGAGCAGCAGCTTTGCCAGCCTCACTCTCGAGGACCTGCCTCTGCCCCGTGGTGGGGTGTCTGCCTCTGCTCCATCTGGGACATGCTTCTCACTTCCTTGTGATCCTGGGGCATGAAGAGAACACACGTGTTCCAGGAAACAACAGTGGTCTTTCCTTCCTGAAGGATCCTCCAGGATCCCCGTTCTTAACCCTCTTTCCTACCTTGTCTAATTGAATTGTTCTACCTCCTTGTCATTCCCGGTGTCATCCTGACTGGGCTTCTTTAAATATCATCTTACTCTGGGGAAGATACACGTAACAAGGCACTCGCGTCTCAGTAATTTCTACACGTATAACTCAGTGACGTTGATCACATTCTCAGAGTCACACAGATCTCAGTAATTTCTACAGATACAACTCAGTGACGTTCATCACATTCTTGGAGTTACCCACATCTCAGTAATTTCTACACATACAGTTCAGTGACATTGATCACGTACATGGAGTCACCCGTGTCTCAGTGATTTCTACACATACAACTCAGTGACGTTGATCACATTCTCAGAGTCATGTGTCTTGGTAATTTCTATGAGTGCAACTCAGTGATGTTCATTACGTTCTTGGAATCACATGGGTCTCAATAATTTCTACATGTACAACTCAGTGACGTTGATCACATTCTCAGGGTCACACACATCTCAGTAATTTCTGTGTGTACAACTCAGTGACAGTTATCACATTCTCAGAGTGACGCGTCTCAGTAATTTCTATATGTACAACTCAGTGCTGTTGATCACGTTCTGGGAGTTACCCCATGTCTCGGTAATTTCTGTGTGTAAAACTCACAGATAGTCAGATATTCATCATGTTCTCGGGGTGACACATGTCTTAGTAATTTCTGCACGTACATTCATCTCAATGAATGACATTGATGACAGTGTCATCAATGACATTCATCACGTTCTCGGAGTCACAC